TAACTTTGCGAATCGAGCCAGCATGGGCTTGGTCGATAAGCTTAGCAAACCATGAGATATTCGTAGAGCATGATCTATTGGAGAGATCTTGCTCGGCATTACTCGTGCAATATTGCCATGAGATACTCGAGTATTATCAAAAACTTTGATGAGCGGGCCCGGTAAGGGGGTGTAACGGTGACGGGATTCGAAAAAAAGTGGTGTATCTACGGATTTGATACTTATGTGGTTGACGGAGTGTCAACGTGAGATGTGATCAAGATTTCGACTCGACTACGTGGAATTTAGCTCCTGAGAGCTACAGTATCCTTGAATTGTTTCTGTTTATTTATCCTATTCGAAATGTGAATTATTCGAATTTGATAGCCTTACCTACAATGTAATTGTTGTCGCTACTTGGATTATGTGTTTGCATGTGTGTTTTCTTGGCCTCACTGAGTATTGGCTCATCCTATTAGTTTGTTTTCCTTAACAGGTTGGATTGGAAGATTTTGGTAAAGCCGACTAGATTATACTTTTGATTGGAATCGGAGCTGTAAATGTGTAGTCGACTTTTAATGGTTGCATTTTGGAACTTGATGTATCTTTTGTGAACATGATGTAAGATTTAAATATTTAGTTAAGGAAGCGACTTTTCTTTATTTTGACTCGTAGTATTTGGTATGTATCGTTAAGTTCGATTTGATTTGTCTTGAGTCCTGGCGAGAGTTGGGCAGGCGTCTCGCGGATACCCTTGGGTTCGCCCTTGGGAGAAGTGGGGGGGGCGTCACACCTTCAAATTTCAAATTTCCTTTCTCGTTTGAATACTTGCATAGGTATCAAATATTAATTCTTTATCAAATAAGAAAGGAGTTTGTATTTGATGAATAGTTATCTAATAATGAGATAAATATCCCTCACCAATAAAAAAGGATAGCAAATAATTCACAAAATTTTAGTGTTATAATGAAACTCTTATGGCATCCATAATGGTTGAGTAGTCTCTTTACTTATGCAGTCTACTTAAAATATCATAGTTAATAAATCTAAAATCTTTAAAAATTTATGATTTATCAACTCTTTATTTTTTATTGAGATATATGTCAATTTCCTATGCCAAAATTTATGGAGTTTCCCCTAGTGATAAACATATTTGCTGCCAATATAATTATTGTGGTCAAGTGTAGCATTTTGCTCAATTCAAAAGATGGTACTGGAAACTTTAGAATTAATAACTTCACTATTTTCAAAATCTACTACTGGATAATGAGGTTCGTAATCATACCCGCTAGTAATTAATTTGAAAATAAAAAGTTTAAAGTAATAAGAAAATAATGTATTAGAAAAATAAATTTTCTTGAAATGAGAATACATCACTTTATGTGAATATTTTTAGTTTCTATAAAGAAACTTTTGTTCACTTTGCATATAATCAGAAACTTATTATACTAGCAATGCAAATTCACAAACTTTAGCCAATTCACGAATATATCACAAGTTATAACACTCAACAATTGAGATTTTCTTTTGAGTTACTTTCTCTCAAGGTAAAGCATCAAGTATTACTCTCTTACAAATAATATTGGTCTTTATTGTTGTTTGACTTACTAAGAACAAAATTACGTTTTTTACATTTCTTCTTCATGAAGGTTAAGTTTCTCTTATTTCTTAACCTCTTTATTCTTTTTTAATACACATGGTTAAACAAGTGATTAACCATATATCTTTATGTGTATTATAAAGGTTTGAATGGCTAAGAAATTATTTATGAAAGAATCAAGAATGAAATGCAACAGAAATAACTCAATCTCAACTTGATGGGACTTTAATTCACGATATAGCAAAATTCTCATCTTTTCAAAATACACTTTAATATTTAAGTGTCACAAAAGAAAGCCTTCTAATGGTGCTAGTTAAAACTTGCAATAATTTCTTTATGACTTTCATGCAAGATTTAACTATAAATAATTAGGATTTGAACCCTATTTTATGTGAATATGAGACAGAATGAGCAAACTACTAAATTGCTTCTAATTCTCATACTCAACCTCTATATTAGCAAGTATATCCATATTATGAGAATGGTTTGTTCATTCTCATAAAAGTGCTAATTTAAAACTTGCACCCAAAACAAAGGAGAACGAATTTAAAGTCAACCTAATAAGAACCATAAAATCATTGGAATGAAACACTAAATTAACAATCAAAAACTATATTATAAAAATGCTATGAAGTTTGTACCTTGATTTTAATCAACCTCATGTCAATTCAAATAGTAATTTCAAACCTTCCTATGGCCAAAGGTTGAAAAATGCATATAATTTACTTTCCTTCATCATAAGACTAGTAATCTAAAACAATAAATTCAAGAAATAATTAGTACCTGTGGGCATAGAAATATCTCTTAATTTACTTTCTAATTTACCATCTCATGTCAATTAATCTCAGCAAAATAATTACCTCCTTGTGGGGCCGAATAACTATCTTAGTGAATTAATTGCAACTTTATATAGATTCCTTTTTTTTAATTTCTTTACTCACTCAACAATATGTGAAAAAAATACAAAATTTCTCCAGACACTAATATACTTAAGATGCTATGGCTACTCCTATGTATATGGCGTTATAAGAAAAATTGTCAACTAGCCAATATGTTGACTAAAAATCCATAATTTCAATCACCAAACTGTATATGATGAAAAACTTTTCACATCAAATATTTGGGATACTGTGGCTACTCCCAAATATATAATGTAAAAGTGAAATTCTTGGCATGACATCTGTGAGAACCCGTAATTTTCTTAATTTTTAGATTTTATTTTATTCTAATTGCACGCTTTTCACATTTTCTTTATTCGAAAAATTTTTAAATTAATTTTTATGAGCAAATATGGTTTTTAAATTATTTTTCTAGTATAAGTTAGTTCATGAGGTTTTAAGAGTATATACCGGATATGGGACCCACTAGTGCGGTAAGTTCGGTAAAATTCGGCCAATTAGGTTTAGTTGGGTATACCGGATTTAATTTATCAAGTGTTAAGAGATAATTAGAGATTACCTAGATGGATTATCATTGGAGAGACAAAAGGATAGAGTTGCACTAAAAAGGTGACAAGTGTCACTTGGTGACTTAAAGTTGGACTTTGACCATTTTACCAACTTTACTAAATAACCAAGAAATTGACCCAAAAATTCACCTTCTTCATACATCTCTTGGCCGACTCTCACAAGGGAGAAAAGAAAAGAAAACCCTTCAATCTTCTTCAACTAACCTTGCTTAATCTTGCAATTTAACCGTTTAAACCTCAAATCTTTCCATAAAAACCCTTAGCTAGGTGGTTTTGAGGTAGTGGGTGAAGTGGTTTGGAAGAAATTGGTGCTAAGTTGCTTCCTTTCTTGAGGTTGCAAGGTGAGTAGCTAGGGAATTCTTTCTTTGGTCTTGATAATGTCAAATTAATGACTTGTGTTGGTTAAAGATGTGATTTTGTGGAAGATTTCTTGACTTTTGGTAGAGATTGGTGAAATTTTTATTTTTATCTATGATTTTTCTATTTTATATGTTTAATGTTGGTTGGCCATATATGATGGGTTGGAATGGTCTAGAATGAAGCTTTGATGCGTAAATTGTAGCTATTTGCGGAAAATTTCCGCTTTGTACTGAAATTTCCAGATTAGGGTCTCAATTAACCCCTATTCTGCCCGGTTCTATTCGGCTAGGTTGGAGGCCAAATCAGCCTTAGGTTAAAACATAAAAGTTGTAGAAAATGATGTTTTATAGTTTTCTGTAAATTTTCAGCCCAATCTAAGCTCCGTAGCCTGTAAAAAGACAGAAATACCCCCAGATTGCCCTAGGTAGAGTTCGGTGGACAGAGTTGACACTTCACCCAATCTGACCGAGACTTTTCACCCTGATCCTTACCGAATTAGAATTTGGCCAAAACACAAAAGTTTTAGTGCGGTGTCTTAGCTTTCTAACAGCACTGGAAACGCCCCGATTGGACCTTGGTAGCCTAAGTTATGGTCGTTTAACCATAATACGGTAGCTAACCTGTTTGTGCAATTCTGGTTTGGTATCTTGAAATTTGACCTTGCTACACTATGAACTGGACTGAGTGGTTCTCATCAAAGTTGTAGCCCTTTATCTTAGCTTCGAAACGGTGTAAATTACACCTTAATCCAATAAGTGTAGCTTCAGTTGTGTTCATTCCGCCAAACAACGTCAAACCTGTCTTATTGTGAATACTTACGTTTGGTTGTCATATTGTTATGTAGACAAAGATGCCACGTTTGCCTATTGAAAACAGAAGAAGCAAAAAATATCAAGGGCAAAGCCAGATTTTATCAGGAATGATAATGGTTGTTATTGCACTGTTTATGATGTGGTACCAGTTAATATTTATTCATCTCAAAAGTAGAAGACGCCAAATAAAATCAAAAGAAGAAAAAGTCACTGAGCGCATGCAACACTTATTCAATTTGACTAGGGAGAGTGATGCTTATTGTATTAGCGAACTTCGTATGGATAGACGAACATTTGGGATATTATGTGAAATGATTAGAGACACTGGAGGTTTGAAAGCTACAAGAAACATGTCAATAGAAGAAATTGTTGCCATGTTTGTATATGTTTTGGCTCACCACAAGAAAAGTAGAACAATTTGTGGTCTATTTTGGAGAAGGAGAGAAACGATGAGTCGTCAATTTAATCTTTGCCTCCTAGCAGTTTTGAAATTGCATACTATATTACTTAAGAAGCCTGAGCCTATTACCGAAGATTGCACAGATGAGAGATGGAAATGTTTTAAGGTAATTCAAACATTAAAATACAATCATTTAATAAAATATATATTTTCATCTAAACTATCCAATATAGACATTTTAACTCTGTTATATTTTTTATTTTTCTTAAAATAGAATTGTTTAGGTGCCTTAGATGGGACATTAATAGATGTGACACCACCCACCGAACAAAAATCAAGATATCGAACGAGAAAAGGAAGTATTGCAACGAATGTATTAGGGGTTTGTTCTCCTAATATGCAATTTATCTATGTCTTGCCTGGTTGGGAAGGTTCGGCACATGATGGTCGTGTGCTTCGAAATGCTATCTCTAGACCAAATGGTCTTAGAGTCCCACAAGGTAAACATATATTGCAGTATTCAATACCATTCAATCAATTTTTTTTCGAAAATAAGGTAGTCTAGTATTAATTTGTACATGATTGAATTTTGAAGGTTGTTATTACTTGGTGGATGCTGGATATTGTAATGCTGATGGATTTCTTGCCCCTTATCGAGGGCAAAGATATCACCTTAATGAATTCAATGGTTATCGACCACAAAGACCAGAGGAATATTTCAACATGAAACATTCTAAAGCTAGAAATATCATAGAAAGATGTTTTGGATTGCTAAAAGGAAGGTGGAAGATTCTAGCATCCCCTTCATTTTTTCCAATTCAAACACAAGTGCGAATAATTATGGCATGTTGTCTGCTGCACAACTTGATAAGGAAGTTCATGACTTTTGATCCACAAGAATTACTACAAAGTGAAGAAAATGAAAGTGAAGATGAAGACAGTGATGAAGAAGTAGAGTACATATCCACTATTTTGCCAAGTGATCAATGGGCAAATTTTAGAAATAATTTAGCACATGAAATGTTTGACAATTGGAGGGCTGGACTTAGTATTTAGCTATGAATGGATGTTTAGCTCTTAGACTCATTAAATTTGGATTGACATTTGATGTACTCTTGTAGTGGATTTGTGAATTAGATTGACACTTGATGTATGTTCTTTTAAATTTGGATTGACTTTTAATTGTATGTTCTTTTATGTGTTTTGTTATATTATAAATTTCAGTTATATTCTATTGTGTATCAAAATTAATTGATATATATGGGTTGACTTCTAAATGATAGGATGGAGAATGATGAAATTGTACGTGGAAGATGGAAAAATAAATGTTTTTGGACTGGTGAAGAGGTAAATGTGCTCATAGAAGCATTGCAAGAGTTGGCTTGTGATCCAATGTGAAAATCAGATGGAGGATTTAAAAATATAATTATATGAGCGAATTGCTTAAAATTATCTTGAGTAAGCAACCTACTTTTACCAAACAAGTCAGCCCACATATTGAATCAAAAGTTAAGTGGCTGAAAAATAGGTTCCATGCAATTGTTGAAATGTGCAAAGAAAGTGGTTGTAGTTGGAATGATGCTGAGAAAAAGATTTCTTGTGAAAAACAGTGGTATGATGATTGGTGCAAGGTAAGAAATTGGTTACTTTTTACATTCTGATATGTTCTTTTTCAACCTTTTATTAAGATTATCATTTGTCTTTCTATTCTATCTCTAGACTCATAAGGATGCGAAGGGCTTTTGGGATGTCAAATTTCCATATTTAGGAGATCTTGAAATTGTATATGGAAGAGACAGAGCCACTAGAAATGTTGCTGAAGATTTTGCACAAGCTGTCCAAGATATGGAAGATGTCCAAAATTTGGAGGAAGGAGATGAAGGGTTTGATGCTATGTCAAACTCGGATAATGATAAGGTAGAAGAAGATGAAGTAAATTCCATGGAGCAATCAACTCAACCAAGCTCAACAAGCACAAGAAATTCCAAGAAACAAAAGAAACAATCACCTCCCATTGCAAATGTGTCAAAAAAAAATGAAATCTGCATCAACAACAAGGGGTGATCTTGATGCATCATTGCAACTTCTCACCAGCAAATTTGGAGATTTCATGGAGGGAATTCAAGCTAATTTCACAACTATGGCAGCAGCCATGTCAAATGAGGATAAACGTGAGCAATTGGTCTCCGATAGAAGAGATCAAGTTGTTGCTGAGTTAATGAAACTTGCTTTACCGAGTGGAGATGTAATGAATGCAGCCGACATACTTTCGGAGCAGATTTCCAAGCTTCATGTGTTCTACAATCTTCCTGTAGAAATGAAACGACAATATGTAATTAACCTCCTTTGTCCTCCATCTACTCGCTGAAGTAAAATTATTGTTAGCTGGAAAGTGATGATTTGATGGCAATTTCTTTTTGTTATGGTGATATGATTAGTCTTTTGGAGATTGTGGACATTGAGTGGCACTCTCGACTGGATTAGATAATTGATTTGTATTTGGTATGGTTAGCTTTTGTGATTTGAGTCTCATTCTTTTATTCATATATGTAAGGACAGATCTATTTCATATCATTATTGTGACACCCCCACTTCTCCCTAAGGCGAACCAAAGGGTATCCGCGGGACGCTTGCTTAACTCTCGCCAGGACTCAAGCAATTCCATTTAAACTTATTGCCGGACCACACAATACAAGCCAATAACTTAGATACAATAAATGCGGAAGCGTTCAAGTTTAATAATAGTCATCCATTATCCGATCCATACATCGGGTGTTCAACAACCATCATAAATCCCAAATATACATCATGCCCTAAAAGTTACATTCGGATTCCAAAATACAACCCAAAAGCCAAGACATAGTCAAAAGTAATAGAAACCCTAAACAAAAGTGTATCAGGAAGGTTTCTTCGATACCTCGCCAAGTTCAATCCTGTTAAGGAAAACAAATCTACAGGGTGAGCAAAACTCTCGTGAAGCCAAGAACACACATGCAGGCACATAGCTCGGGTAACAAGCCCAAGTAACAATTCAAGTAATAAATTGCAAGTAATTAATAATGCCAACAAAATGTAACAAAAGAACAATTCAAGGATATGGTAGCTCTCAGGAGCTAATTTTCACATTTTACCGATGTCATTCGTATACCTCCCCACGATGACTCTCCGTCAACCGGGTTGATATTTCATATCCGTAGTTCACCACTTACTCCTCATCCATCCACCATACACCGCTTCGGGCCCGCACGACATTTATAGGGCGATACTTCACGAGTATGCCAAGCGAGATCTCTCAATAGATCAAGCTTATCATGTGAATCTCATGGCTCACCGAGGTTCCCGACCAAGCCCATGCCGGCTCGAGTTCCAAGATCGCCCCTATGAGTTTGGGCGTCCCCCATGTATCATGTAAGTGTCGAGGAGATTCACTCCAACGACGTATGCAGCCATAGCATATCATGTCATGTATTCAAACATTTGACAGATCTAAGCAGGTATTTCAAGTCATGTAAACCAGGTAAATCATGTTAAGCATGAGTCATTTGTTTTCAAATGAGAACGAGTGCAATAAAGTACACACTCGACTCCATTTTCAAAAAATCAAGTAGGCTAAGCATGTAATCAAGTCCATAGAGTTCAAGTAGTCAAACACTTGACACTCACCAAGTTAAGCAAGCAAGCAGGTTGGATTGAGTGTTCAAACTTCCACGGTAGGGTCCTCTTGGAGGTTCTCGTGCGTGCCTAAACATCGAATAGTAGACAATTTCTATAAGTCCCCAAGTGGCGAGAAAGATTGAACACGAGTAGGGTTCGGAAATATTTTAGAAAATTTCGTTTGAGTTTGTCTTTGAAGTTGGATTCGCAAAAAGGTGCAAGACTCGAGAAAAATCGGATTATTATCCTTAGAATCATTGGTTGGAAACGAGTACAAGCGAAATGATTGGAAAACGAACGATCGAAATCGTAAGTGGGCTGGCCACGTCACAATTCGGCCGGAACCTGGCTGGATTGGAGGCAGTAGCCATCCTCATTTTTTTCAAATTCCAACTACAATCCGGCCGCCTATCTGGCCAGAAACTGGCCGGATTCAAGGCCGGATTCTAGAAAAATGCTTCCCGCGTGGATTTCTTTTGAAATTCCAGAATTTTCGATTTTTAGTAAAATTTTTGAAAAATCATAACTTCTTTTCTACTAGTCAAAAATTTATAAACTTGGTACCGTTGGAATCGTCTTTGAAAGTACTAAATGTTCTTAGAAGACACTGTTCCATGAATCTAAATGGAACATATTCAAAAATGAGCTTAAAGTTGCTGTTCCAGATCACCCAGGATTGAGTCGGGGTTGGTTTTTCGCTAACTTTGGAAATTCGGCAGAATTCACCCGTTGCAAACCAGCCCTCGAATTTTATAACTCAATTAGAGGTGCAAGTAAGGTTTAGGATAGAACAAGCGAATCAAGAATCGGAGTTTCGAGCACCAAGATATGGTATCTCAAAGTTGGGAAAAATTCAAGACTGTTAAACAATTTTTCAGATTTGGATTTCCGACTTTGGACCTTTAGTTAAGTGTCGGAACGGATTTGGATTAGTACCAAATTTTGCAGTATAGTACTCCTATATGAAGGGTATCTCTCTATCAAATTTCGTGGAAAGATACTTTCGGAAAGGTAGTTAACCAATCAACCAAAGTTTTGAAATTACTAAGGCAAAACTGCCTTTAGCTCTATTTCTCCCCGTTTCCAAACATTCGGCTAAGAAAACCTCCAAACATGGTTCATTTGTGCAATAAAAGTCCAAGGAACCTACATGGTACATCTGGTAGGTGTTTAGCACCAAGAAATTCATTTAGTAAGACCATAACAAGTCTCACATCTAATCTGTCCAAATCTAAGAGTTTTCGAAAACGAGGCAGTCGCCGTATTTTGATCATAACTCACTCAATTGAACTCGGAATTGGAAATGGTTGATAGTGTTGGAAAATAAATTCATAGGGATATAATTTCACAGAAGAAATCATTTTGAATTTTGGTACACAACTAGCTCGAAATCTAGCTTCAAGTCACAGCTTCTGTATTTCATTCTAGCAGAACAGAGAGACAGAATAGCTGAATTCAGAAGAGTGGTGCAGTTCACACACATGGAACCAAAATGTGCATTTTATACCGTTGGAAATAAGGGGATGTCTATTTTCAAATGCCACTAACGGCACTTGATTTTGACGTCGGAACATGGAGTTATGGACGAAATACGAATACTGGTCTGGCCATGACGTGAACAGCTTCCAGATTACTAGCTTTGGGAATAAATTCATTTGACCAACCAAAACTCAACATTTTTCAATGAAAATTTTTACACAACTACTACAACATGTAAACAACACAATCAAGCCATTAAATCCTCAAATATCTGCATTAAAGTGGCTGAACAAAGCAGGGGCAAAATGGTCAGATTTGGCCTTTGCACCCAACGTGAGTTTGCATCAATTTTCCATCAACAAACCACTAATTTAAACACTAATCCAACATTATAAACATCATCAAGCATAAAATCAGCAACAACTCAAGAGTGGAAGTTCATAGAGCCCACTTTTCCAATTTTTCCAACAACAACCACAACCCATATGCAAATTTAAGCTCATAAGTGTAATCCTACTCTTATAAACTAAGTTTAGAATGTTAGATCACTATATACCTCCTTGGTGCTTAAGACCAGAATTTCGGCCCTCCTTGAAGCTCCAAGAAACCATGAAAGCTCCTCCCTTTTGAAGCTCAAAGTGTTGTCCAAGTGAAGAGCTAAGTGTATGTGAAGTTTGGTGTGAATCTATGAAGGTTTGGTGGTGATTTTAGTGAGTTTTGTAGAGGTAATGTTGGAAAAGTTTTCAGTTGTTTCTCTGCAGCTGCTAGCCGACCATGGAGGTTGGAGAAATGACTTGATGGGTCTGACCCTTTGGCGTATAAGGAATGCTAATCGTCTAATAGTTTAAGTGCGGAAAAGAATCAATTGCAAATAGTGCGCCTACGCGCGCGTTTTGTGCTCGATTTCTCTTAAGTTTGTTGCACTAGTGCACTAAACCTCTAGGGCACCTATATTCATATAAATATTATTCATTCTTAATTGTTCCAAAATAATGGTCCAAAGTCCCTCAATTAAGAGCGTACGTGAAAACACGTATTTCCAATTTAGGCGCGAAAAAATGAAACCTTCAAGAAATTCTTATAACGATCGTACTACTAACTATCACTTGAGTTTTTAAACCTAAAATTGCCTATTTTAGGACCATTGTATATGTCTCAAATTTTTGAGTTTATTGTACTCCCAATTAGCTAAAGTTTTTTAGACACGTTTTCACTTTTCACTAATCAAGCTTTTAAGAAAAAAAAATTCTTGAAATGAGACGCTTTAAAAATATAACGAAACTATAAAATCATGTACTTAGGTCTAATAAGACTAGAAAATATTATTCGTGGCACAAATCCAAATAAATAATTAATTAAGCCAAAATTAGGGATTTTAAAAATAATAGATTTTCGAGTCCTCACAATTATCTAATGTAGGAACCACAAACGACTTGTTAATGGAGTAAATTTCCAAAAAGAAAGAGTTTTTAAACTAACTTCCTAAAGGGTGGCAATTTTTGAGTCTCTTCCCAAAGGGAAAAAACACATTCAAGAAATGCGTTCTTCCAAATAAAAATGTAACTTTCAAATACATTATTTTAATTTTCGTAAATTTGTTTAAATACAAAAAATTGGTTAAATAGCGTATTAAATACAAAACCTGCTAATTTCCCATAAAGAGCTGGTATCTTATGGGTAATTTCTTTTTTTTTTTAACTTTCACATATTTAATTTATGTTAAATACAAAACATACTAGTATTCCTTTGGACGCTATTTAACCAATTTTTCCCATAAAGAGCTGGTATGTTTCCCATAAAGAGTTGCTACAAAACATACAACAAAACCTGCCAGTTTCCCTTAAAGAGCTGGTATCTTATAGGCAATTTCTTTTTTTTTTAACTTTCACATATTTAATTTATATTAAATACAAAACATACTAGTTTTCCTT